AGAATATGAATTATGATAATGAAGTGTACATAGGGAGAAAAATACATTCATTAGCAGTCGAACAGGCTTCGTATTTAATCCAACATAGTGATACGGTTTTGGTTCCATGCACTGTGCGTTCTATGATATTCTGGAGACATAATTTGCTACAATGGCTTTAAATTCCTATCGAAGCAAGCGTATAGTTATGATATGCAAACCCAGAGAAATAATGCATATTAATTGAAGTTTAACATATTAATGTTATTCTTCTGCATATTTGATGACTGTGCATCATAAATATTTAATTTTGCTGTTATTCATCCGGAAGATCCACTGTTCAGTTCCTGGTCCGGTCGCTCCCTTTTCATCCTTTGCATAAATGAGTTTCATCTTATGGCAATGTAATGAGAGACTACCGTTTTAGAAGATACCTAGCGGTTGGTACAGCCTTAAACGACGACAATACCCTTCTGGCTGATGGCAGGGAAACAGAGATTAATGCAAGAGTATAAGCTTTATGAAAATATGGGCTACATATGGCCTGAAGTGTGGAACGTGTAAGGATGAAGTCAAGCTTTCTGAGGGTTGCAAACTTTCTTAATAATTGTTCAATTTGCTGGTGGATGGGAAAACTATATGCGATTGATTTAGAGGCACAGCTTGAACCAGATATACATTCTTAGAAAAATAGCTTACCAAAAGTATTCTAGCATCATTTTCTTAACGCAGCGGGTGCCATGTTTTCCCAGTAATACCAGCTGTGTTGAAATGTTTCGTTAAGAAGACCGAAAGCGTGTGGTGCATTCTTCTCATATCTTCAGTTAGTTTCCCGCGCATTTTAATTGATGACCGTATGCTGTCGGCGGCTGCCTCGCTGTTGCAGTGGGCACTGCTCACCGGTCACTGCACACAGAAACGCTGTCACAGAAGTCTGTGAGAAAAAAGTGGAAAGCCGATTGGAATCTCAAAAGATAACAAGTTTTAGCTGTGATTAATTTACGTCTTTTAGACTGATACTTTGCCTCCACCACCGACGATGCACGGCCAGCTTAAAAATACATGGAATATCGAGGGGTCTCTGTTTCTTTCTCCTGAATAAAAAACGATAAACAGCCGTCACATAGCTTAAGGCAGGACATATGCCCGCCAGTCAACTGTTATGAATTTTTTTAAACCGACAAAGCAACGCGTTGATTTATGTCCTTCGTCGACCGGGCAGCATACCTTAGGAAAACACATGCTTCGTTGCCTCATTTTTAAAGATGACTCGAAGATAGACGGACTATGAGAAAGCCGGCACTGCCATTCCTTCAGTCACTGCTGTTCCACCGACTGGTGTCGAGTGAGTTAGCAACTAAGGGTCGTCTGACGCTGCACACCGTTGATCAGCGATTTCCCTTCTGCTGCACGTTGTCTAGGGTCTGAACTCAACCGAGTCAGGCCATACTCCATCAGGGTCAGAAATGAGGCTACTTCTTCTCTTGTCGCTCTTCGCTGTTGCCTGTGCCCTTCCGATACGTGTCGGTAAGTAAAACAGAATTGAACAGCCTAACGTACTTTATGAAAAATCAAGGTACAAAGTTCATGATCCCGCTCTTAGAGAGGATATCACGAATGTGTCTGCATATGCCTTTGTTAAAACAGCCAATATTTTAAACCGCTAGACTGAAAAATCAGGTAGCGAGGTTTTTTCTCACAACATTACATAGAGCAGGACAATCATGACACACAAA